TTGTCTTCCAACCGTGTGGTACTCTGTTCCTTCGTGATGTTTCTTTTTTCTGAAAATCCTTTTTTTTTTCAGAGAAAACTTTTGAGCTTACAGCCTATACGAGTACGTAGGCATCGCTATTATCTTTCGTTAGCATTAAGAGCTTTATTGTCTTTTAAAATAGTTTATCATTCATTAGGGATATGTTTCATTCAGTATCGAATAGGTGAACTTAACCTTTTATCCATTCGAAACGAGTAATGTTCTAGCTAGGTAATGCTGAATTGTATCTTGATTGTAATTGTAACTTGAGTTCAAGTTGGGAACTCTGGGATCGATTGTTTCAAATGTATTAGCACCTGCACATTTAGTAATCGTGTCACCTGCCAAGTCTGATAAATGGGCAAATTTACTGTGTGTAAAATTATGCGTTTCACATAATTCATACACTAAGCCGTGCGATACGCAGCAAGCACATCACTAGAATGTCAATAATGCTATGGGCTTCCCCACAACCGTCTGCGTTGTTAAAACAAATCTTTCATTGTTGTCGTGACTCATGAATATGTCAGTAAATGGGCTTGTGTATCCAAAATTGTATCACTTATATGCTCGTTAAAAACGTCACTAAACCAATCAAAACAAGTTAAGAGTGCAATGTACCTATTATTTACGAGTAAATGTAGTCAATGTATTTTATATTTACTTATGTGCTACTATCACCTACACCTCTAAATTTAGTTATTTTTTGTTAACATCCACATAACGTAATTGCGACACTTTGACATAGAACATCGTCGTCGCTCTTGTAATCTCAACATAACCATCAATCCGTTTTCCTTGTGAATACAATCGACCGGTATCGTCTTTGTATTGATGTCATCTTTGCTTTTTTCCACAGAATTCCTATTATATTGTCGCGTCTTTGTTGTTCGAAGGCACTTTACAGATATCTGCATTAAACAAAACACACAGAATGTAAACATAATTATACCTAATTCCTAGTAGGTACGTTTATTCCCACGCGACGTTTATGAAGGCAACGGCCTACAACATACATACAAGACACCTCGGGTCAATTTATTTAGTAAATGTCCAATCAAACATGGACCTTCTAATTACGTGATGTTCTTACTGACTACATTGAGTTAGTAAACGATGAGATTTTGTAGGTTATACACAAATCGCACCTAGTTTTTTTATTTTTGTTGGTTTAGCTATTTAATTCTTGCACAGTTGCACCTTTCTTCTTCTGATAAAAGTGCTTATTTGGAACGTTTGTCAAATGACACATGTTACTTTATTTTAAAACTGGTTTTTGCCAATGTCTCTGGTATCAAACACGATAATACGCACTACGCTCGTCCCCGTGGTGCACTTGCAAGTGAACCGAACCGTGCGCCGAGTCGCTATTACATAACCCGACGTGTGCAGCCAATGACCCACTTAGGCAGGAGGTGACTGCTCCGACTAATGACAACAACAAAATTATAAATAGAGTAGACGTATTCTAAAAATTTCAGTGCCCTTTCTGTATCCGACGGAGAGCTCAACGATATTGTGATACACATTCTGTTCTACAAACGCCTGTCCTTGCCGATCTACTGCAACTTGCTCCGCCGAAGTCGTACGACGCGAATCATGTGTTGCAATAAACGCATTCTTGTTACATCATTACTAACTGCTTACTCAATATTATGCATTTTTTATCGTAAATATAATATGATTATTGCCTATACAATATGATAATCCACGTGATAATAAATACACGTATCTACCAATTTAAGTGATTACAGACATTATTCTACTATTGATATCTGTGTGTCAGACAGGTAGGTAAGTCTGATAAATCAACAATTTCTCGTCATCAAACATCGAGACATCGATAACATTGTTATTGAGTAATGAGTATTTCACACGGGTATAGGTTTTTCTCTTTGACAGATAACGTAAGTTAGGTACTAGTACATAGCTTACGATTTTCAAGTTTAAACTTCCATGAGGAATAAGAGTCAGTTACAGTGATTATAAATAGTTTCTTTACAGTAAGCGATTACCGGTTAATGTGATCATTTGCATCACCACTGCTGTCTCTCGCACGTTAATAATGCTACCCCCCTGTTGAGCTGTAGCGACTCCAATGATCAGGGAAAACCAGTAGCGGATTTATATTTGCGGCCTGTAGGCTATAAAATTTTTGCCGGCCCTACTAATAATAAAATAAAATACTTCAATGCAATACTCTTTTTTTTACGTGTGGAAACTCAGGCATACCACACCGGGATTTGCGACGAAGTGGTGTGTCGGAATTGAACCGACTAACACCATACGGTGTACTACTCTGTGAGAGGGATCCGGAAACAGATGTTATTACGACATCCGAACTCTCAATTCAATATCCTAGTTCAGGGTTGTCCAAACCGAGTGCAGACGGTTTCAATTATGAGTCGGCCGCCCTTATCGAGCGGTGCGATAAAAGCAGCGCATTATCACACCGTGCATTCACAGCGGCCATTGAGCTACATCAGGGAGGTACTCCACTATCACGCGGTGCCAGAGTACCTGAGGTGGCTAGTTTTTTTTATAATGTTAGAGGGGGCAGACGAGCAGACAGGTCACCTGATGGAAAGTGACCATCGCCGCCCATGAACGTCTGCAACTCAGGAGTCCGCTCATTTCTTGAAGGTTTGAAAGTCGTATCGATGGGGAAATACCGCAGACGATAACCCGTTCCACAGATTGGTTGTGCGGGGCAAAAAGTGTCTCGAAAAGCGCACAATAGTGCACAATTATTGTTTACTCTAGCACGTTTGATTCTGACACAGTTTAGTTTTTTTATTACAGAATTACATTGGCCAAACAGATAACAATAAGTATATATGTAACACGATAAACTAAAAAAACTTGTAATAATTCTTATCGAACTGTAAATTGATAAGACAGGTTGTAGATAGTTGGAAAAATAAAAAGTAGACCTTATCTTCTTATATATAAAATTACTGGTCACAATACCATACTCCTCCGAAACGGCTGGACCGATTTTTATGAAATTTTGTGTGCACATCGGGTAGGTTTGAGAATTGGCCAACATGTATTTTTATACCCCTAAATAACAAGGGTGACTCACCCCATATTTTTTTTTTTAGTTTCCTAGAAATAATGTATATGGCAAAACAACGTTTGCCGGGTCAGCTAGTATTTTATATATTTAGTCTTGTTTTATAAAGTTACAATGATCATCCAGTTTTAAAGCGGTCTTACACAATTACATACCACTGGTATTTAATTATTATCCCATACTTCGTAAAAGCTAAACTTTTAAATAATTAAAAAGAACTGTAGACAACTAATGAATGGTATTTCAATCAATTTCCATTCTTGACTTTAAAAATATCATCGTCAACTCGTCTAATTTTCCAAATCCAACTGTTGTCTTCCTGTGACGTCCAATACACAGCCAGAGTCTGCCGCTTTTTTACACCGTCCAATCTTACACAGTCTCTACATTATCTACTTCCTCAATCGTCCGCTGTTCTTCAGGGTCATCATCAATTCTACGTAGAAAAAACCAACAAAATTCTCTTGAAATTTGCTTGATTAATAAATTAATATATGAGAACGTATAATAATGTCCATTCTTTACTTTAAAATAATATTATATTGGCTAATTTTTTTCAATTAAATTTAAGTGTTAGTAGTAAGTCAGAAATGAGGAAATCCTGTTTTATTAAAACCATTTACGTAAAATAAATCGAACGTTCATTGAACCATTAACAACCAAGTTTGACTAGTGTTATCTGTGAAATAAATATGGGTACCTACGTAGTAGACAGATACGTTATCAGTATGAGGTGATACTGTGTGTCTATCTTACAACTTCGCGACACCTAAAGCCAAAACCTCCGGACATGAGTTACGTTTTTAAAACCAGATAATAGTACGAATATCTTATCATCGCCATCACGAAGAGTCGCGTAAGTAGGTCGCATTAAATAGCAACTGAATACCTGTAAACATACAATGTAGAAATGAGCAGGTGTGTCAGAAGATCTCTGACGTAGTATATGCTTTGTATACGAGGTGTAAATCTGCATTTCTGAAATAAAGATTTTAACTATTAGCGTAAATTACCAAGAATAGGTTCTTATACTTATATTCTGGAACTCAGCCGTGATTGCAGTAGTTCACACACCGACTTAAATTGAAGAAAATTCTGTAATTACATCGAATTGTTTTGATACCAATCAATTTCAACGGAACATAGAAGCTGCATTAAGAGTATAAGTTGGAATAATATTGAACCGTACGATTGAAATTCTGATTCTGATTTCGAAAATAAGAACAAGTTGGTCTAAACAATGTGTATTCGTTAATTGCACGTCAGAATGTTATTGACGATTGACCATCGAGATTCCTTGAAACAAAGAATAACATCATTCATTGACAATGTAACACTACTATGAGAATTGGCTGATGTACCTACTCTACACATAACTTTCATAATTTTAAAACATTTAGGTTAACTATCATGTAAGTTACGAGCAGGATCATATTATTGTTGTATATTGTATCATGTTAAGAATAAGTAGAGTTAACAGCAATATTACCTACTACTCTACAGCTTGTGGTGACGGATTAAGAATACAGAATATCACCACCCCTATTCATGCAAAGCAAACTACGCATGACAACAGCACTGTAAAGTGAAAGGAAAACTTGAAGCAAACCCTATATCAACCCGTCTGGCTAGCCTGGTATAGTAGGCCAAAACCTTCTCTCTAAGGAGAGGCCTATGTCCAGCAGTGGACTGTTATAGGCTGTTGATGATGATTGATGATGATGATTGATGATGATGACTCTACATCTAAGTTTTTACCGAAAATGCAATGCCAAGTCTGCGATCAAGTCTCTCGAATTATAAAATTTTATACAACTAGCTAAAGACTAGATACATTACTTTTGTTGATAAATCTGAACGATGCTATGAAACATATTTTATACACTTTCATTATTCCTTTCAGATACTAAGAGCTCTTGCTCTTCTATCACGATTGCCTCGAATTAGTATAGTGGTGAGTAATCTGATTTATACTTTAGTTTTATTATTAATAATTAGTTAGATTGATGAGATGCTCTATTTTACTTACGGGTAGACATGCCTAGAATCTAAGTCCAAATAGTCCATTACAAAAATAATATCTTTTTGAAGGAATTTTTATCATGGAGCATTTAAAAGTTAGTGGAGTTTTAGAAGTTTCAGGGGGGATATAAATTTTGCTAATCAAAATGAAAAATAAATAACGATACCTATATACATTTTATATGATAGGTATAGCTAAAACTTAAAAAATAAGACTATCAACTAAATTAGTAAAAACTAAGTTTAATATATGTATATAATTATATTTAGAAAAAGGTTTAAATAAATTTATAAGACCCGAATTATGTACGAATCGGTAAAAGGCGTGCCTTCACTGTATAAGTAGGTATCTCTGATGAACGTCAAGGCATAAAAAATCGTAGACCTATAATTTCTGTAGTATGTAGTATATCTGCACGTATATTGTCAATCATTGTTTTTATGTTCTCATATAGAAGGTGGAATTAAATTGCAGGAATTTATGCTTTTCAATTTCTTTTTATATTTAAAATCAGTTATACACAGTAAATATTGAAAAATGTAAGTAAAATAACGGCAAACATAAACTTTGGTTTCGTTCGTATCATAATAAAGATTTTTACCCATTAGCTTTACTCTACTGTGTATTTCGTGATTGTGTACCCGATTAGTTTCGTACTCCAAGGGTCCCTTTCACATGAACGTAAACCGCATATCATTAACAAGAGTGAATACCACAATTGAACGGTTTTTTTTACATTAATGAGTATTTAAAAATATTACGCTTTACCACTTGCCATTAGGTAGTATTTTGTTTATTTTAAACCTTATTCAGATTAGTATACTCGTATACAGATTAGTATATTTATACTATGAAAGTATAAGATATAGGTAGGTACACTTACACTTTATTATAACCACGTACTCGAACGATACATCCGTCCGTATAAGATAGATACAAATAGAACACCCACCGATCACAAGTAGATATATTTTATTGCAAATTATATAGATATCGTTGAATACATTAATTATATTATTTTTGTTGACCTTGACCTTGTCCTTGACCTTACGATGTGTTAGTTAGCGTACCTCTTTGCTGAGGTTGTCTCTTGACCAATATTACAAGGATTGCGATATACCTAATTGGTTTCCTAATTTTAGTCGATAGTTCATTACTTCTTACCTAAACGACAGCAAAAGGTTTATGCTTCTCTTCTTTATTTACATTGATAGGTAACAATATTATTTAAGTATTACACATAACCACAATAACACGATATGTTTTATTAAAGTAACTATATCTTTTAAGTACAGTTAAAATGATAGGTAAGGATAGCAACTGTTAAATATTACGCTTTTTGGTCTTTCAGGCTACCTACCTATCATGGGAATTATTAGAATTTTATTCATGTCGTTTTTTGAAAACGATGTATTGTATGACTTACTTTTTACATGTCTATTGAAAAGCACATAAACTAATGCAATTTAATTTTTTCACGAAAACTTACTTCAGTTTAAAAAAAATCATAAATATATATATTCTTTAATAATCCACCGAGCAAACGGTTGGGTTACAGGTCGCTTATTAACCGTCGTTAATTACGTGTATTGAAGGAATTCCACTTACATATATATATAGATAAAACATATGTCTCTGTTTACTTTCACTATCATTTTTAAATTATCACAATTACACATGGTATTTTACTTTCCAGCTAAAATATCGAATCGTTTAGAAACATAGAGCGCCATCTATCTCCTTTTACAATTTAGTTCAGTCAGTCAGTTCCTGTTACGCTGCTGTCAGTGCGCCAAAGCCCGTATAACCTATTTTCATTTCTCAATGAATGAAAATTATATTATAGTTTTATTGACTATAAATAATTAAAAGAAACCTTTATAAAATGATTTAAAAACAGTGTGATATTTATAATAATTTTTGTAGTCTGCAGGTAGTTAGATTACTTTAAAATATTAAACCGTAGAGTCTTGCCAACCAGTGACTTAATTCATTTGTTATAATTAATTAATATTATTATTTCAGAAATCGACAAAATGGCGCTAATATTGCAATATTTAAATGATATGCACATGTTCATGGACAAATACGGAGGTGAGTCAAATGATGATATTTTGACAGTATTATAAATGCACCTGTGCACTAAATATCTGCCAATGCCTTTCTGGTTTATAAAACTTAAATATTGTAACTCAGATTGATTCTCAATTTTTAAATGTTGTACATCTAAAATTTTATTTAATTCATACTTTTGTATATCACTGGAAAAATATATTTATATCATAAAACTAAATATTTAAAACATACAAATGTAGTGTGAGTTATTATTATGTACTAAAGATAATAATTATATATTTTGTTAGTAACTTCTTCACCTTTTATACAGAATATTTTTTGTATTTTTAAGTTTTAGTAAAAATCCGTTATCTATGTTGATCTGTTATCTACATTTTTATAGTTTTACACCTATTAAGTATGCCCATTACAATCATCTCACATTACATAGTTCTTTTGATAATGCAGCTTGTCAACTCCAGTTGTTACACAAGAGTATTTTTAGATGACCCAAAAACAGCTTGCACTATGTTACCCATTTATCTTATAATCGCTGTAATCATTATATATATAGTCTCATTAGGCTCTTGAATAGCTCATAAGAATGATCTATTGATTTAAAATTCCATAAACTAAATATTCTTTTTAAAACCATTTTTTAAATTTCAGATCCCAGGACTAATCCATGGTTCCTCATGAGTTCACCCCTTCCTACATTATTAATATGTCTAAGTTATATCTATCTAGTCAAGGTATACATCAAGCAATCTCTCTTTTTTTCTATATTGTAAGTTGCAAAAAAAATTGAAATTCAATTATTTATTCTTTTTCAGGTTTTAGGGCCACAATTTATGGAAAATAGGAAACCATATGAATTAAATAATGTTCTAATATTATACAATTTATTACAAGTATTGTTCAGCACATGGCTATTTTATGAGGTAAGAATAAATGTTACATTACCAATTACTAAATCAAAAAATGTTGAATTACTTTAATTATAAGCAACTAAGTTTTCGAATTAATGATTAGATATACTATATGCGTATGTAAATTAGTTACCATTCATAAAAAAATATTGCCGTATATTTCAACACTACTGTTCATTTGTTTATTATTATTGTGCTTGTCACTATTAATTAACTATATGCTAATTGCATTATTATGTAAAATCTCACGAAAGTCAAAAGATATTATTTTTAATTCAAATGTAATTAATACTCCCGTATTGCTGCTGCACAATTAACTATAGACCCCATTGATATCTTCTGTTAGAGCTTTACAACTGCTGCCTTTATATAAAATATACAGTAAAATCAAAAGTTAATTCGCCTTTTTTCCAGTATTTACAATTATTGGTAAATATATTTTAATTATATATAAATATATAACATTAATGACTATAACATTTAAAAAAGTAGCCAGAAAGTAAACCTTCCAACAGATAAAAGAGATGTATGTATTGTACGTAAAATGCTTCTTAATTCTTTGTTGTGTTATTTCACAATTTTTTTTCTTGTAAAGGGAGATTTTGTTCCTATGCTCCAAATTGGAGGGTTAACAAAATTATTTAACAATATATTTCTGGGTGGCTATCAGAAAAAAATAATTAAGTAACCTTCAACACCGTTGAATTATAAGGTGTAACCAATGTTACCATGTTGATTTAAACATATATTTTTTTGACATGTCATACTCTAGAGTTTGATGGGGGGCTGGCTGAATCATTACAGTTATAGATGTCAACCTGTCGACTACACAGACAATCCTGTAGCCATTAGAGTAAGTGGAGAGCCAACATGCAGATACCTTTACTGAGTACATTTGTACTGCATAAAAGCAAACTAACCGGAGCTCATTGTAAATAGACATTTGAACATTTAATGATTTTTCAGGATTTCTACAGAATGCAATATGTACATATAGTTATAAGGTGCAAATGGTATCAAATATTTAATGTAGAATAATTATGTTCATTTAATAAAACATCTAAATAGACGTGTTTGGATGGTACTGCGACTAACAAGACATAAGTAACAATATAAAATATCCACTTGCGCGCCCACATTAGCTAAACTTTAGGATTAACACAACAAACCAGCGTGATGAACAGTACTTCAGTTGGTGATGTGCAAACTTTGTATATAAGGGCCTGGTGTCGGCATGTTGTTTCAGATCGGAGCCGCGGGCTGGTTCACAGGCAGGTATAACTTTCACTGTCAGCCGGTCGACCACTCGAAACATCCGCAAACTATGAGGGTGAATTATCACTTGCATTAATTTTGATCCCGTATTTCAAATTACTTACCATACCTTCTAATTGAGTGTTCCGTATATTAATTTGTTCATCATCTGTGTCTTAACTGTACAAAAAACAAGACACAACCTTATCTTATTAACAACACGCCAAATTGTCTATGAGTACGTACCTGCCATTATAACATTAAACCATTCATGTATTATTCTTCTTACACATCTTTTCTGTCCTATTAGTTGCATCTAGTTTTCTTCGCTTTAGTCCTATTGTGATATACAATTTCTTGTCTATGAGTTATATTATGTACAAAATAGTACAGATGATCACATTCTATCTTCTAGATAAATTAATTCCCCTAATCTACCTATAAAACTGTTCGTTCATCTACACTTCTACTCTTACTACTTTTCCAAATCTCTATCTACTTTATCCATCTCGAAAGTTTATGACTCAAATCCCATACACTAAGGCCCTAAAGAGTGAGATATATATAGAGATAAAACTTAATTACTGGAATAAAAGCTGAACTATGCTACACTAAATTTGAATTGCGTGTGAATTTTATTTAAGATATTCACTCTAAATAATGTTGTTACTTCATCATTTACGAGTAAATGTAATTTCATAATCATCAACTTACATCCTAACCATAAACATATTTTAACATTATCACTTCACTGTCACTACCATTACATCTATCACTATGCCACGCTTTTTACAAATTAATCATATTAATATAGCCATAGAGCCTTAAAGTGTTTAATTTTTTTTAATTTTTTGACTGTTTCATTATTGTTTGTTACTTTTCATAGTCATGTAAGTTTTAGTTCAAATAATTAAAAAGTAATATATTTTACAGATGGTTCATGCTTGTTGGTGGTACTATTTTTCCAAATTCACCGAATTCTTTGACACGGTGAGTACCTAAGGATGTGTACACATGCTACACCATTGTAGATTAAACGTAAAGTGGATAACCTCGACGCGTATGAAGCGATCTGCTTATTGAGGAGAATTATTATAATATTATATTAGTATTTTCACGTGGCATTAAACCCGTTTATATCTATGTGTCTCACTTCTATACAAATAACTACAATAGAGGTGAAACCCCTTACATTTATATGCCATAAGTAAAAACAATGTAAAAAATAGGATAATTTGCCCGTGCCGTGCTCGTATGCCTATATCATAAATAAAGGAATCTTGACTCGTATCTTACTTTTTTTTTACAAGTGAATAGTGAATAAATGTACATAAATGGTTTTAATGAGTTGGCTAGTGACTTTTTTGTCATCGCCATCAGCTGGGAAACATCCTTGTATGCCACCATAAACTTATCGAAAGCAATCCAAAGTTACGAGTTTTCCGATCACAAATAAGATAAACGATATTGTGTTAAATTTAACTACAAATAGGCAAGAGATTAGGTACGAGATTATCACAATGTTCTTTAAGTTAATTATGTTCGTGCATTGATCGCTGATAACACATACGTATGTTACAGTAACCTATGATTTGGAAATGTGTCCATTTTTTTAATATGACCTTCGTCCTCTACAAAAAGGCCGACAATCAATGTACAGGGAGCCTCGACAATGTTCGTGGCTTGACCTTATGATTACATCGATACATCTTGCCTTAGCATCGATGCATCTACTTATTAATTTTGTCTATTTTCTACGAGAACTAATTATTATTACATCTACATGCTTGCACTAGAGTTTAAGTTTTAAGAAAATCCTTTAAATTCCATAGAGTAAAATATAGCTGGCAAGAGTCGTCACTGTCGCTATAAGACCGGATACAGATCTTTTAAATCATTGAAAGTTTGCCTACTTAGCACTTCACCACAGAGTACAGTAACACTTCACTAGTGCCTATTGAGCGAAGAATAAATATTATTGATTTTATGACAATTTCTGTGCAGATCTTCTTTGTGCTGAGAAAGAAATTTGATCATGTGTCAACTCTGCACGTGATTCACCACGGCGTGATGCCCATGTCCGTGTGGTTTGGAGTCAAATTCACCCCTGGTGGTCATTCCACTTTCTTCGGCCTGCTCAATACCTTCGTGCATATCATCATGTACACTTACTACATGTTTTCAGCGATGGGCCCGCATATGAGGAAATATCTCTGGTGGAAGAAGTACCTTACTACCTTGCAAATGGTAAGTAGGCTCGGTTTTACTTACCAAATGCTCTTAATCGTAGTGAAGACTATTTTATGTACTGCCGGTGGCGTTGTGAAGGCTAACTCGTTTACATTGAGTTTTAGAATGAATTTTCCTGTTCATTAATATTTCGCAAAGCATTTATTGAACAAGATGTTTATCATGTCTGATGTATCATGATAAATTCAAACAGGATCAGAATTAGAGTACGAGAATGTTATACCGTCCTTTCGCATTCTTTAAAATTCTAAAAGTTAAATGAATACTTGTTCAAAAATTTTGCAAGGAGACAAAAGATTTCAATAAAATTAAGATGTGGTTCCTCCAACATCCTAATCATAACAATCAACAGGAGACAAATTTTTAGTGTAAGCTGAAATTGAAATACCTTTTCATTTAATGATACCAATGTCTCAAGGCAACAGAACTATTGATAAATTGTTATTTATGTATCTGCAATCTTTTTTTAGTATTTAATTTTTTTTGATTGAAATGTGAATAAAATACTTATTCACATTTCAATCATTCGTACAAGGCTTAGTGAGAGGTATTAATTTAAAAACATCATTATAATGAGTCAGTAGTCAGTAATCGTTCGACTTAATCAGTATATATTATACAAGAGAAATCACAATCATTTACATATAGTTCATAAAGTAAAACACAATGAAGAGGTCGCGACAGCAATTAGCGTCTAAAATTTGTCCGTTTAAAATTATAGGTGCAGTTCGTCGGTATAATGGTGCACGCGTTCCAACTGCTCTTCATAGAGTGCGACTACCCGCGCGCCTTCGTCTGGTGGATCGGCATGCACGCAGTCATGTTCTTCTTCCTCTTCAAAGATTTCTACAACCAGTCCTACTCTAAACCTAAGGTACGTAATGTTCGCTCGCCTACCTTTTGCGATTCAGACGGAGCGACAGATGATAATATGACTGCCCTGTCGGTCTAGCGGTCAGTGACCTTCACTACTGCGCTAGAGGTCGTGGGTTCGATTCCCACCCAGGACAAATAATCGTGTGATGAGCACGGCTATCTGTTCCGTGTCTGGGTGTGCTTTATCTAAAATATGTATGTATTTAGAAATATATAAGTATGTTTATCAGCAGTCTGGTTACTATAGTACAGGCTCAGCCTGGTCTGGGATCAGACGCGCGTTTGTGAGATGTGTGGTCGGTTTGCGCAGGTGCGCGCGTCGTCCCCGGCGCCGGTGACGCGGCTGGAGGCGGCGTACAGGAAGGGCACCAACGGCGCGCTGAAGAACGGCTTCAGCAACGGCCACGGGCTGCCCCGCGCACGCACCGTGCTGCCGGCCGGCAACTGACGCCGGACGCGCCGCCCCCCCGAGCATTCCGTACTACTCTGTGATTCGTAGCCTCATATGTCGCGGGACGTTGATGTAATCTTATTTAAGCGTGGACCTTCGCGGAGCCGCCGCCCTAGAGACGTGGCGGTACGTGTGATCGTCTAGTGTACATACGGTTAGGCGGTATCGTTGGTGTAAATTTTATTTTATCGATGTAAATGTATAGCTAGATTTGTGATCGCATAGCGTTTTATACTTTTGTTAGACTTAGATAATATTATGTTGCTTTTGGAGATTAGGGACGACGAACTTTGAAAGACAGTCATGATACAGATATGACATGTATTACGTACATGGTGCTTATTAAATGTATGACTTTAACGGTATGAGCTTGTAAATATTAATAATCACGAGGGCATAGCAATAAAGTTTTACTGAAATGGACGAGGTACACCTTGTTTGTCACTCCTCTCCTCTTGTTACCCCACATTCTCGAAGCCCCAGTATTTGTGAACTTAAAAAAATATATCTTAGATACTATGTCTTTTCACGAAGTGTGTAATGTAAATCAGGGATATTATGGAGATTGATATGAAATGGATTAGTGATGTGATGTAAAGGATTGTAATAGGAAGTTTAATTTTTTTATATCACTTTAAATTGCAAAATTTTTTAATGTTTTTTTTTTACTTAACCATAAGTTCAAAGTTAACAATTTATAATGAAAAGCATGTTCAAGAGCACTGCACATTACATGCGCTTAACAATGCAGATGCTCACTAAATGTTTGGTTTAATTCAATAGTCAGGGATAGGCAAGAATGTTAATGGATTTATGAATTCATTCTTAATGACTGACTACAAACTAGGATTTGCAAAGTTACCGCTACGACGTCGACACCAGATCACAATTAGAAAAATTCAAAACATAATACACCTTCATTACTAATAGCAGTGATCTGATAGCACATTTAAAAGAACAACTAAATAATAAAAATAAAAACAGTTCGGCGTTGTTAGTGAAGAAGTAGAAGAGCAGCAGCTTTGGATACATCAGTATCCAAAGCTTTAAACACTAACTGATTCATACCCGAAAATATTAGAAACAGTTTTGTCCGTTCTTGTTACGGAGCTTCATAATATCCCTGATGCAAGTTAAAAACACTTTTCCTTAAAGACAGGTAAATCGAATTTTTGTCTACCCTATAACTGTGATTATTAGTAACATTGTTAATATATAAAGTTATATGTAGTATAAAGTTAATGTTCCAGTTACGTTAAAGAGTGATCAAATCAGTGAGTACATCACCGTGTATTCTAGTATGATGCAATGAGTACCATATAAAAGTACTTAGTCTGCATACCTTGAATACGCAATCAAACTTCAGATGTACCTGATGTAATCTAGCTAAATATGGCCAATACTCCAATAGCTTTTTCCTTTTTGTTTTTGATTCGTATTGATGTAAAAATATTATTTGAACACATGACTGAGTGTACTGTAATGAAAAATAAATCTGCCAGCTTCGAGAACGAAACAAATATAGATTATAAGTATGGATCAGTATTTGACAAACTCATTATTGTCTAATAATTCACAAAAATGTTAATGAAGGTAACATGTTTATTATTATTACTTTCAGAAAATATGGCTATGGTTTAACAATGCTGTATATCACCGATGTTTGCCTTTGTGTGTTATTTCTAACACATGGGTAATAATTATTTGAATGACAACTTTTTTGTTGTTTGACAAATTGACGTGATTTTTTTTCTGTTAAGTACAATATAACTATTTTAATTTCAACCGAATGTTCAATTTAGTTTTAGATACTATGACACTAAAGTGGTTGTGTTGGTTATTTATTTTGTTTAATTTATCTTTTATTTATACCAAAATTATGTATATAAGATCAAATCTATAACGGGTTTATAGCAGTAGCTTCAATCTTCCTTTTTAGTCTTCCGTTTTGTTTTGTACTTACCAAAATTTTAAGGTGCTTTTTGTACTCCGAACATTCTGCTTATATTAGCAGTCAGACAGCTAAAGTTCACCATTTTGTAAATATAAATTTTGTTTCATTGTTCATATAGGAATCAATTTATGTACCTATTGTAATTTTTATACAAAAATATGCAATTAAATGATAAGTATAATACTAGTGCATTATTTTACTATAAGATATGGCGCTGCCGTTAGATTTCTCGGATTACTATTCTATTGGTTTCGTTTAAAAAGTTCCTCAGAGGTGGATCAAAAGACAGCAAATGCCATACAGTCTGCCTAAACAAATTTACTTCGTCCTACGTTGACCATTTTAAGTGAGTGTCGTAATAAAACCGTGTGCGATGGTGACCCACCTGCTCATTTGTCCCCTAACCACAAAAAAAATAGCAGTCCTATTTAATTCGAATTTATTACTTCATGATTTAGTCGACTTTTTTGTGAAATGTTCATACATGAAATCTGGCGACTGATCGTGTGCGGTACCACAGCAGAAAAAGTTTGAATTTTAATATTTCAGTTTAACAGATTTTTGTGTATGACGTGTGATTATTGAATATAATTGAATTAGAACACTATAGAAATGAAACTAATTGACTAGGCGCAGAAATGGAATAGTATAGTGAACCAACAGTAAAAAGATAAGGTAAGATTATACTAATATATTACCTAATACAGTACAGATTAATCATTACAATACAAATTATAACAGTTACAGATACCCTACATATTTAGTTATAAGTCTATGCCTATGTCTTATATATAAATGTAATAATTACTTAAAGTTTTTGACCGCTTAATCATAAAACACTTAAACCAATTTAAACCTATCCGTTGTGTACGCAACTGTTCAAAATAATATACTAAACTGAAAATTTTACAATGTTACATAAATATACTGCACGGCTGCTTTTTTGTAGCCATCCGAACTCGGTCGGGTTATGTACGGATTGCGGTGGTTGTCAGTATTTTAATTGTATTTCGTTAATTATTTAGTATAATGAAATGAAAATTTGCATGTGAATAGCTAAATTAATGCACTAATTATTGGAATAGATTTTATTGCGCATTTCCTTTAGAATCTTGTGCAATAAGATTGCATGTGAAACAGTGGACCAGTCATTGTAAATTATTCAATAACTCATTAATTACTAAGAGAACATCAATGATACTTGGCAAGACGTAAAACTTCAAGTAATAATGACTTTTATAGGTTGGACTATTAGGCATAGATTAATAGGTAAAAATATAAGGTACGTACCGTACGTACGTAAATATAAGTACTAGGACCTAATTACCTTATTTTACGTTTAAATTTATATCTTCTGAATGGTGCTTTTTTTAATCCGTTTTTACAAACATAAATAAATTCAAAACAACGTATGAAAAAATCTACAGCTCTCTAGAAAAGCGTTTTATATGAAATCTAGCAAATGGCCAAACGTTGTCGCAGCGGAAACTTGAATATCTTCACAGTTTATTGACGCACTTTCATTTAGACATACACAATTACCATAAACTATGTAATTTGTGAAACAATTTTTTTTTCTGCGTCCATACGATAAAAAAAGTGCGGAAACAGTTTTTCGTGAATAACTGGTTGGATGCAACGTCATATACTAAAAACCTGTTAAAGTCCAAATAATGAAATGCGATTTTTTTCGGCTAGGGCAACGCACACGATTAATCAGCGTTTGACGATATGAAAAACTAAAGGTCTTCAAACATAATCATCTGAATTCATTTGCATCTACTAAGTATGTTTTAGTTCTGCATCGCCCTAAAGTCAACTGGGAGAAAATACCTAAGTACGACATTAAATCTAACTTTGCTACATTTATTTGTGCATAATGAATAAATAGAGCAACGACTTATTCGTAATAGCAAAACTTGGAATAATTTCATAAAATAGTTACGATATGGTTTGAGGGGCTTAGTATGTTCAATATTCATCCGGCAAGTGCAGCTCTGGCACTTGGCTACAGCTCACGTTGTAGTAGTTGTACCTGCTACTAGCTGATCGAAAATGTAACGGTAGATTATCATTGCGACCAACAACGCATGATCCGCAGCGACTGGCGAGTGAGGAAATAATATGCAATGCATCCCAAAATGAAAAGGTAGTAAGCATGCTGCTTTCCTGATCCACTCCTGTTAATTTAAAAAATTGTGAGAAATAAACTTTTATAACGTAAATTCAACAGTATAAAGGTATGTAAGTTTTATAATAAATGATTAAATTAAACTACATAAATCATATTAAACATTTTTCTTTAATATATCATATACGATTATTTATGTAGGTATAATAATAAAAAAAATTATCTTGATTATCACTTATTCATATATAGAAGACAATATTTTTACAGTATCAACTTTGTACTGCCATCATGAACCTCGCTAATTGGCGTACAGTTTTACTAGCTATAACAAAAAAAAATTGATAACACTGTTCTGCAATCGAACAATAATCAAAATAATTTTAACTAATTGCTGCTCGTTTAGCTATGTGGAATACTAATTGACACCATCGAATTAAACTATTTTACCCTCATTCAACTTTATATTCATTTTAACACTGAGGTTCTCAAGCAACTGTCAAAAGAAAACAGCATAATAATATGTAGATTACACTGGATCTAGAAATTTCTGACTGTATTTTTCATATTAATAAAACTTAATTCAAAAATAAACATATGGACGGAGTACCTTTAGCTGTAATTCAAGCCTGTGATGTTGAGCAAATTAATTTATTTCATACCTGCCCTATTGACCTCTCGAATTCTATTCTTTATTTTCATTAATTGATTACGAAAAAAGTAAAATGTACCTACTTACATACAATACAATGATATTTTATAATTTTTGATCACGTAATTGTTATCAAGCTTACATACAATCAAAAATTATGAAGACATCCTACTATTTGCTTTAAATACAATTTACTTAGTGTATTTTTTTTTTCTATAGAGTTTTGGCGCACCTAAAACCCAAATTTCCTGAAGAGCTATCCTCAGTGTTGTGCGAACGTGCAGAACATCTGTACCGGTAGCAGTAGGAGCGGTGACATAAATATGATCCACCTTTTTTCACTTTTTCTTTTAGCTGAAAAGCGAATATAGTTTAGTACACTGTTATAGGAACATTGTTGGGTAGGTGTTGGTAGGTAAGATCAACTCTCAGGATCAATGTTGAACCCCATGATTATCCTTTTACCGTTAAGGACGTGGGAAATTCTTCAAAATATTACACTTAGTCACAGGGGCGGAGGGAAGATAAGTCTTCAATATATCACGCATAGTCACAGGGACGGAGGGAAGATAAGTCTTCAAAATAGCACGCTCAGTCACAGGGGCGGAGGGAACACAAGTCTTTAAAATAGCACGCTCAGTCACAAGGGTGGAGGGAAGATGTCTTCAAAATATCACGCATAGCCAGGCGAAATGAAAGCTGGGAAATCCCTGAACGTAAGTCGTTAACACCATTATAGTACGAGTTTTATAATGCGAGGCGTAAGGCGTGAAATTCAAATAAACAGATTTTGCTACTAGGGTCGCGAGTGCGCGAGGCCCTAGTCGGTTTCCCTGCTCGCCACCCCCAAAGGCCGCCTCTTGGTGTGAGCAACCAGTGCCTATAAGCAATTGAAAAAGCTATCGTGTGTGTTGATCCTTCAACACCCATAAAAACAGCAGAACTGTAGAAATGCTGTCTAATCATTACTTTATTGCAGAGTGAGGTCTTCACCAATGTAGCAGCTACACTTTAGTCAGATGTCTAGAATACCAGAACCACAATAAATAAATCTTTAGATGTTAGGTAAAAAAAAAAAGGAAAAAAACCTATACTATAGAATAACTTATACTTGACCCTAATAAATAATACAATTCTGAGTGGTAAAAGAAGTTGTTTAAAATAGTTACATTCTCTTTAGTCCAGGCATCTTCAGTCCACTCCCACACATTCCCCGCCATGTTGTACAAACCAAAGTCATTAGGAGGAAACATATTTACTGGGCTAGTTCCCACATAGCCATCCTTAGCAGAATTATGAGCAGGGAAGTTACCTTGCCAAATGTTAGCCCTGAAAATAAAAGGATATGCTTAATCACTTAAGAGTTCTCAAAAATTTTGGTAACTCTTAAATAATTTACATCTTTATTGATTTTTCTAAATAGTATGAAAATAAAAAAAAAGATTAAAAAAAAATTGTACACAGATTTATGGCGCTTTTACTGACATGTGCTTTCGTTCAGGAAACAGTTTATCTCCCCAAGGATATTTTGTATTTTGATGTCCACCCCGACAACCGGCTTCCCATTCAGCCTCAGTAGGTAAACGGCCACCTCTCCATTTACAATATACTTGAGCATCTCTCCAAGAGACATGGACAACAGGATGATCCATGATATCTGAAAATATGTGCGATATATTTCATTTAGTTACATTTAAGTATAATATAACACTATCAAATAAAAAACTAACTATTTTTTTAAACACATTGTCATCAAAATTCTGACTACCTTTAATGTTAGAGTCAGGTCCGTATGGGTGTTTCCAATCAGCACCAAACACCTTGTACCACCAGACAGCTTGCACAACACGAAAATCATTTAGCTGTTCTTTAAATGTTGTATTTAAAAATGAAGTGAATACAAAACTATCTCCAAATTGTTCAGCTTCAGTCTTATAATTAGTAGAAACAACAAAATTTTCAAAATCTTTGTTCGAAACTTCATATTTGTCTAAATAAAAACTATTTAAAGTTATCATCCGTTTTGGCCCTTCTTTATCATTTTCAATGGCTATGTCATCCGTTCCAAATTGATACTTTCCAGCGGAAATAAGGACCATTCTATCTTCTTGGTTCTTTTCCTCCAGGGTACTACATGTTTCATCACTATAACATTCAGAAGACTGATCCATATAACTATTTGAACCACTAAACATACTTCCCTGACTCTGCTTTTCATCTCTTGCCCGATTGACGTTACATCCACATCCAGATTCTTTATTAAACGAAAGAGAAATTTGAAGAGAAATAATAAACACAATTAATAACATTTTATCTGCTGTTCTACTAAATCTTTACTAATAGTTTAATTATTACAACAATAGAGCTAAACATCTAGTTAATTACTTAACTAATTCTTTAACTTCTTCATTTTCTTGTAATTAAATGGCTACATAGTTTTTACGATTTTATTTATATATTTGGGATCTCCACAATATTTATTCAAAAATCAGATATCACAATGAAATAAATTATTTCGTCCAATAAGAACTTGCCAAAACATCACAGACTGATACAAACAAACGTAAACCGTAGCGAAATGGTAGCGAATAATTACTAATGTCAAATTGAATATTTTGTCAACAGGTGTACCTTTAAAATACTAGTTTTAAAAATAAGTTGACATAAAAATATTAATTTCAGTTCAGTCCAAAGTATTAATGTTTTTTTTTTGGTCTGAAAGTGAAGCCTATTTTTATTTCTTAAATTTTAATAATTTTGTTAGCAGCACTAATATTTTTTTAGCCGGCAACTCTAATTTATTTTCAGTGATTTTGAGACGTGACTTCGATACAACGTTTTAACACAACTTTCGTTAAATTTTCATATTATAGCAATATTTAAATAGCATGGTGTGGAATCAGTTGCCCAAATCAAGGACATTGGGTACCGTAAACCGGAGTAAATAGGTGCAATCTTCACTTTCCACTGTAATTTAAACCTTATTCCGTAACGCATAGGGTATTTCAAGGTACTATATATCTATAAGCCGAAGATGGCCCGAGATACGTCGGGGTACCAGGGCTTTCCTAGGGTCTAGGGTATACCTGGTTCCCCGGCTACTAGTACCTGGAGACGGCGTGCGGTTTTTGTCACCCATAATCCACCCACACTGTGTCGCTCAATTTCTTACGGGTCATGGTAACTTTAAGAGCAAGCTGTATTCATTTAAATTAGTCGAGTCACCATTGTGTCAATGCTTAACACCTAACTCAGTGAGAGTTAGGTGTAGTGTTATGAATAGTCTGCTCATTATATTATCTGGGAATGTAGTCTTTGGTATAATGAACGTAAAATAATGCTGAATAGCTTGCAGGTGACATCTGGGGCGGTATACTAAGGGGATCTTGTGTCAACTAGGGTGAATTTCCGTGCGTTTAGGCGATTCTGCCACACATATTATAGAAATTAATTATAGCTCACCTAAGACCCGTAATATTTTGTGGCCATGGTGCTTCCCTGTTTAAAAGGGTGTATGCCTATTTTACTTCATTTTGTCTCCCGCTTTGCTAAGGAGGGAAGTGGATTTACTGTATTTCCAACTCCTCGAATTTTCTTTTGATTAATTTCGTTGCGGGTTCCAAGACAGTTTAATTTCTTCGTGGGACTTCCCGAGTGTCATAACTCGGTGTGTTCGTGGGTCACTGCTGTGGATCCTGGTGTACAGAAGTTATAGTGGTGGGCGTGTGGGTGGGATTAGTCCCTAGAAAATAATCCACCCAGTCCGACATAATCACCCACTGGTGGTGGTATTCGAGGGGAGTTCCGCACAAAAAAAAAGGTATACTAAGAAATGTGTTGTAAGCTCTTTTAGATGTTAAGTAGCTTCAGATTCCCAAATTATTGTCATATTTTGAGTAATTCAACAAAAACCCATTGAATGCCAATTTTCCCCTGACGGGAATAATAGGTTCGGTAGAGAGGTTTATCGGAAATTTAACTAGGGCTATCACTTTATGTATCCAAATTAGGTAGGTAGTACTTTTACGTACGTAGGACTTTTTTCAAAAAAGTTAGGTAACTAATATAGAAAAACACCTTTAGTATAATGTATCTAACCATGTCAGGTACTTACCGCTTTTTATGTGTTTATTAAAAAATCCTTTGTAAGATCATTTTTTTATTGTATTAGTACCTTAGAACAAAATATCATATTTAGTTCAAAACTATAATCAGTATATGTATTTGTATTTATTTATTCATTGTCTCCTCTTTAGATTTACTTTTACTAAATTATTAAATTTTAACTTAATAGGTATTTTTAATCTTTTAAGTAACAAAAGAAAAATAATTAAATATTCTTCTTTCCAATCAACAAAAAAAAAGTTTTACCTATATTATATTATCTGTCTAGGGTGGAATTACTATTTATCTTCTGCAAAGGCAATGGCAATTTAAGTTTTATGACTGATATGATTTTAATTTCTGGCTTCTTGACAATCAAAATTTTCCCAAATTTTTTTTGGCACCTGTAGGATTAAACATCACTACCCTAGGATTATTTAATCTTACAGGCACCACAAATATATTACTTGACTGCATATTTTGCTATCTGATTTTTTTACCGTAATCCTCTATCTGCAATTTGTCAATTTTAGGTTTGATTTTTGTTCCGATTCGTTTTTGACAACCCTATTTAGGAATTCCAATTTACCTCTCGATCGAACCAAGTATTGTTCCAATTTTATCTGTTCATATGCCAATTTACCCCCTTCGCGCTGCTATTATCTCCAAATAACTTTAAAAGGAGTGTTAGATTAAAACGAAGATTTAAATTTAAATAACGCAAGTTACATTCACGTTTATTCATACCACAATCCACAATTATGATGAAGATAACATTGATTTCAATACATTTTCTCAACATAACTCATAAAAAACTGTCGTGTAGAAAAAGGTGTCCAGTAGAAAACAAATATAAGCTCTTTCTGAAATAAAACAGCTTAAATTGAATTTTTACTATCATTTAAAGTAGATTTTTATTCCTATTTACCCCGTATTACGGTATTAGATACTTGGGAAGCAGATCCCAATGTACATGCGAACTTTTCTAAGCTCTCATAAATACTTTTAGAGAGGTCGCAAGCAAATAGATTGGCATGTACCTACCTATTTTTCATTTTAAATTTCTTTCAGGTAACATTATGCATTATTTTCTTTTCTCATGTAATTACTAAATTTTTAAACTTTTAATACAATCTAATTACTTTAATTCAGTCATGTTATTCTACTTTTGCAAGACACTTTTTCAGTCAGCCACTGTAAATGTACTTATACAATTGATTAAAAAATAACCACCTGTACCTCTCCCTTAACACAAGTAACACAACCAATATTGTGAAACACTCAATTAACATTCTAGGGTTAAATACATATCTAGACAATAAACATAATAAACGTGGTGACGTTGTGACTTCCGTTTGTTTGTTTCATGAGACTATGAGACTATCCTTGTGATAATTTTTTTTTTTTTTTTTTTTTTTTATTAAAAAGACAACGCCCGCATTAGGAATAAATCCTGTGTCGCGGGGGACTTTACAAACATACATGAAACGGACACAAAGAACACCCAGACTCAGAACAACAATTTGTGGGTCACACAAAGTGTCGTCCCATGTGGGGTTCGAACCCACAACACTCGGCGTAGTAGGAAGCGGCGTGGCGACCGCTTAAACCACTACGCCATCCGTGCAGTCGTAATAATATCATGAAACAAATTAGATGAGGCTACTAGAAGACTAGCATCGCCTAATTTGTTGCGGAAGTGGACGACTGGTTTTTGACGTTATTTGTCAATAGTTTATCTATTCATCAACGCTATTGGTCCAATAAATTTTGAAAGTATGTTTGCGAACACCGCATCAAAAGACAAATTCAATATCAAATACAAAAGCTCAATTTAAGTACTGATGAAACATAAAAACATATATTTGAATTGTAAAAACGTATTTGATTACTGTTAGCAGTAATTAGATTAAAACAATTTTCAGTAAATGTCACGGTTTAAAAGTCCACGTTTGCCAAGAAAGCTGGTCAAACAATAATTTTTCTAACCGCTTTCAGAACCTGAATCTAACATCCAAATAGACATTTTTAACAGGTTGTTAATTGTATCATTTTAATATACTTATTGTTTTTTAAACTACCACAATACCCACTCTTGAATTTATAATAATTTTTAAAGTTATTAAAATTTATTATCATAATGTTATTTAAAGCCCGCAGCAAGCTCAGGCGTAGATTGAGTAGGATCTGCTTCCACTATCGCCTTCAATTCGCCGTTGTCGACTATAGTCACGGCCGACCGCGAGGCTCGTTCTTCAACTTAAAATTTCCAGATGTAAAATGATTGAACCAATAATGGACCGTGTTGCATGCATGCAAGCAGTGTTAGGCGTACACAAAACAAATGACTGATTTTTATATTAAAATAACATGGCTTTCGAAAAACGTTTATTTGAATTTCGAATATCGCGCAAATCGACAGATAATTAAATCCGAAAATGCTGGGTTTAAAAACTCTCCAACTTCAAAGGTAAAGACCAATAATAGGGAGCCCCAGAATGGATTTCGGGATTTACTCGAACTTGGTAGATTAACATAAGGAGGAATACCTTACACCCAATTGAGTACCTCCACCATACATTAGCCCTACATATAGGAGGGAGCGTGTAGGGCAGCTCATCAGATTACTTAAAAAAAATCGAGGGACGGAAATACTCGAGCGTGTAGTCAACATTCATCATTACCAGCCTTTAATAGTCCACTGCTGGACATAAGCCTCTCCTTAGAATGGAGGTTTTGGCTTACTATACCACGCTGGCCAGACGGGTTGGTATATGGTTTGTGTCAAGTTTTCCTTCTCCCTGAAGTGCTGTTGTTCTGCGTAGTTTTCTCCATCAGACGATGTGAGAGTGATATAAAACAGTAAGAGGGTCATAAAGTTCCAAAGAAACAATGCAGACAAGAAATCGTCTTTAAATGTCTACATAATTTATTGTGCATTTATTTGCCACATTTAAAAAAAAACTAACATTGATTAAAAATACCCTACAAAAATATCGTTAGATTTTTGGCTATTTTAGTATGAGAGGAACATCAAGCTGAACCGTTTGTATAAAATCTACACACTCGGATATTTCGAAATGGCGATTTTTCGAATTTGCAGTTTGCATTTTCGATAATGTTGTGGGTTCAAACCCCACATGGGACGACACTTTGTGTGATCCACAAATTGTTGTTCTGAGTCTGGGTGTTCTTTGTGTCTGTT